GCTATACTTGCTGACTTAAGAATGAAACTAGCTAACATGAGACAACAAACAATGATATTGAAATTGTGTACTAAATAAAAAGTAGACAGATTCTTACAACATGACACAGATTTCAATGTAATTAGATTAACATGATGCCATCAAATAAACATTTACAATTTCTGTTATAGTACAAAGGCTCACTATAGATTACAATAGAACATACCAATATAATTTACTGATAATACTATACTGAATGAAGATACTTGTAAGCACTATACAATGATTAAGATAATGCATGCTTATATGCAAGGCTACGTGAATGAGGTAAAATGGAAGAAATTCTCATATCAGTATGATCAGTAATCTTAGTTCGCGAGCCGACGTTTGGTGGCGTTCCAATTTTCAGGAGCTCCCAGTCTTGAGTTGCTACATATGATAAATACTTTTCTTCAGTCAGTCATTAGTTAGTTAGCTGGATGCGCAGGGCAGTAAAATTTTATGTTTTATTTGCAATAAGAAATAGCAGTTCCAAGAGTTTAATACAATATATGTTGCGGTTACGAAGCGAATCATAAAGAAAAATCTGAAATGTTGGAAGCAAACCAGAAAAAAAATGTTTTTCTATTTCCGAAATCTGGCTTACAGCGCAACAAAACGTTTCACAGAAGCAAATAAATCCACGGAAACAATAATTCAAATTTTACTTTCGTGCACATATATTACAAAAAGATCAAAAAAAATTTCCACGGGGAATTTGTTAAAGATTGTTTGATTAGTCTGCTGAAATTCTTTGTCCTTAAAAATAACAATTATTCAAATATATTGGTTTGTCAGCCAAAGCTGTAAATGGATTAGTAGTGAAATTACTAGTGATTTACCATGTCATTTAAAAGAAGAAAATATGTAGATTTTGCCACATTCTAAATAGCATTTGATGAGAATACAAACATTGCAGATACATAGTAATGCCGCATTATGTGCTACCGATGAATTTGGAGTACTTGAAAATTTCTTGGCATAATTACTATGAAACACGTTTGTGAAAGGAAAAACACAGGACACTTTTCTGAAATGAAAACTCTAATAGATAAATATAAATTAATTTGAGATAAAATAGTTAGATTTACACGTGATGGTGCATCTTTTGTGGTTGATAGAATGTACAGTAGCTGTAAAATTAAGAAATATAGTGAAAAAGAAGTATAGTTTACAGAATGCTTATAGCATTAAACATCGAACTATTCATTACGAACCCCATTTTGTGTCAAAAGGTTTGGATATGGATAATATTATGGAAACAGTAAATTTTATCCATGAAAATCATCGAGAGTTCGTAGCATTGCTTAAGGCAGTACTTCTCAAACTTTCAATATTTGCGACTCAATTTTCAATCATAATTTTACTCGCGTTCCCCCCATACAATAACAAAGTATTGAATGTAGTAATAATTTACTTTGACGCTAAAGCTACAATGCGACTTTATAATAAAACAAGCAAATTATCAAGATAAGTATTAAATTTTGTATATGTTACTTTTAAGTAATAGGATAAATATTATATTACTTTTCCTTTCTAATTTTTTAATTGGAACAGGTTGCAAAATTAATTTAAATTAAATTAAATACTTTTTCCTCAATCAGCCATTTCTAAAAGTACAAATGTCATTAGAAAAATAGTCTAGTCTCTGTTGCTCTCTATCCATCACATTCGGCATTCTCGCGACATCTACGCAATCTATCGAACGTCTGCACAAAACATGTATAAATGCTGCACCTCCTGCAATTGCAGTTAGTCGCGGTCGAGTCGATCCTTCTGCGCTACCGAATCTATTTTGAATCTGCATTTTGTAACTTGCACCTTAAGTGCAATTCACAGTATTAAATAACGGCAGTAGATTTAAATAGAATCATGAATAAATTTTTAAGTCGTAAGCGAACATTAGACGATAATAAAGCATCAACAAGTGCACAGACTAGCGTGGATTCGAAAATTAAATCAAGAAGACATTCTCGAGAATACTTAAATTTTGGATTTACCACTACTGGAGTAAATGAAGAAGAAAGGCCCCTGTATGTTATTTGCTCAAAAACATTATCAGCAGGCAGTATGAAACCTAATAAACTTAAACAACATTTAGAAAAGCTTCATGGTGAGTACGTAAAAAAACCGAGAATTTATTTATTTTTAATTTTTTAATTAAAATTAAAATTATATGAAAAGCAAAAAACATTTTTAAAAAACTTTGAAGGTGGAGAAAAAGCTTTACTTGCTTCTTACAAAGTCTCATATCAAATAGGTGTAAAAAGCTTCACACCATTGGCGAAGAGCTTCGATTCGGCGAAGAGCTGACATCGTAGTAACTATGTTTGGGGCTAATTTTGATAAAGACTTGCAGTCTATAACTCTATCAAATGATACTACTGTCCGTCGAATCGATGATGTAGCTGAAGATGTACAGTTAGCAGCATTTGGCGAAATTGCGTGACAAGTTGCTTTCAATTCAGCTTGATGAGGCAGCAGATGGCAATAAAGATGATCATTTTCATTGCGTATGTTCGATTTTGTGATGGTATGTCAGCAGTAGACGAACTACTTTTTTGTAAACCAATAAAACTCAAAGCAACAGCACTAGCATTATTTGATATTATAAATAATTTTTTAAACGAGGAAAAAAAATGGAAACATTTTGTCGGAATATGCACCTTAGGTACTCGTAGAGTGTCTGGAAGATTACAAATCATATAAGCACTTTTGAAACAAAATCTCCACTGTACATCTGGACACACTGCATGATCCACAGAGAAGCTCTGGCTTCCAGAGAAATGAATGAACAAGAAATGATCTGAATATTTTGCCAAAGACAGTTGTGACCGTAGTAAATTATATAAAAATGAGACCTCCAAAATCAAGAATCTTCTCTGTACTTTGCAAAGACATGGGTGCAGTGAATTCATTGTTGCTATTTTATTGCGAGGCAAAGATCTTTATGATATTGGAACTTTGTACAATGTGTTTATGAATCAGGAGAAAAAATTCACACTTTTCTAGAAGAGGAAAACCGACATGAAGCTGAGAAGTTTCGAGATGGTTTATTTGTGATGAAATTGAGCTACTTGTTCGATATATTCGAGAAATTAAACACCTTGAAACTTCATCTCCAAGGAGCAAATATACATATGTTGGAAACCACAGATAAAATTAATGCTTTCTGTAGAAAATTGGAACTACGGAGCAGAAATTTAAAGTTTCTCAGTTAAACATAGAAAGAGAACTTAGACTGTCAATATCTAATATTAAAACTTTCTTTGAATAACTTTGCTCTCCAAGACAAGCCCATGGGGAGTCCCTAGTAATTATCAAACTTGTTCTTAATTTAGTACTGATAAATAAATTATCAAATACGTTGAGCAATACTGATACATTTATACGTGCATTGTATGTAAATGTGTATTTTATTCTTTATTATATCAATGTCAGAATGTATTTTGTTTTGCTTCCTTTCAGTAAATTAATAATTTTATAAATAATCTTTTATTTTCGACTTTTCGATATGCTCAGGCCCCTCATGTAAGGTGATCACACAGTTTAAGAATCACTGGCTTAAAGAAACTAAAATTGAATATATGTGTTTATCTTTACATATGAAGAAGAATGTCTGTTTGTGTCTTTATTCCCGATTAACTCATTCACTTCTATAGATATCGTCACCAGACTTTCTACAGTTCTTTTCTAGGTCCTGGAAAAGCTCGACTTCTACTTTTTCAAAATAAATAAATAAATCAGAGATATTAATTAAAATCTCTGAAAATGCTAATTTTCACCCTTATTTTTCCGAGTGACAATAGTTTCTCACGCTGGAGATAAAATTCTGCTTTATTTCGAGAAGTTTTGTCACTGCTCGCTTGCAAATAGTAGAGATTGTTAATCTTTGTATAATCTTCCAATTCATCTATAGGTGATATTATTGCTAAAAAAGATGTTTAACTACATTACGGTATCAATCAACCTTTCTACACCACTCCTGCGTCATGTGACGCAACTGTGGGTAGCTCACCGTATTAGGCGGGTGGCTTTGTTTATATTGATGACCGTTCGCTTTGCCAGATGTGGTGTTTGAATCCACGTCGGCACTTGGCGTTTCTTCACTCCATATCAGGCAGGAGTGAGAAAGGTGGTTAAGCTACCTGACACCGCTTGATACCATTGTGTACCTTGGCAATCCATCCGTGCTTTAGGTTGCTCACTCCGTATTAGGCGGGAGGAGACTGGTCTGTTGGTGTCATGATCTTATGTCCCTATGAAGCCTTTCGGCTAATCTGCGATTGTGAGAGGGCCGTTTGCGGCGAAATCTCTCCTGCTTGTTTCATAGAATTGCAAACACCGTACTGCACTCTCTCTGACTGGAAGATCTGCCGGAATTTTGCCCCAACAAATCGTTTTATCTGGGCCCTCAGGCCATTTTTTCTTTAATTATTTTATTATATATATTAATTAGATGTTACATTACAAATGTTAACAGTTTAGTAACATTAAACTTAGATGATTATACAATACACGTTGACATTTATATTACACATATTAGGAGTTAGTAGACAGTTACATTTGGACGATGTTACAATACGGTTTGACAATTACATTAATACATTTAGATTGTTACATTATTATTACGTAGTTATTTACATATTTACAGAGTCGAATGTGACCAAGGAAGGTCTCTTTGTATGTGTGATATCACATCGTTACAATTAGGTTGTTCGAGGGATCTAATATAACTTTCATGATTTCCCTCATTGCCGCTAGGTGTCGCTAGGATTTCTTGACTTGGAATTTTCGGGAGTATCTTTGCTCTTATCCTGGTGAGTTGTGGGCATCTGTACAGGTAGTGGGCTGCATTTGTAGTGGGCCCACTCGTACCGTATGCGCACCTTACTTGTTTCTTTTGAAAACGTGACATATAGCTCGGGAATCTTCCGTGATTTGTCAATAGTTGAACCAATAGATGATCTGCCCTGAGCCTTTTAAGAGAGATTCTTGGGATAGTACTTGTATGTTTCTCTGCCTGTTTCCTCTTCCTCCCATCTTTCCTGCCACCTCTTTAGGGTTTCCAGTAGCATCTTTGATTTTACCGATTGTTCCGACAGGGGAACTGTAATATCTATTTCGGGTCTTTGTGTGGCCCTTTTGGCTTCTTCATCCGCCCTCTCATTCCCTTTGTTCCCAACGTGGGCTTTTATCCAGTTTATTTCGAGATCTTTGTTGTCCTTTATTGTGTGTATTATTTCTTTTAAACTCATTATACTTCTCGATCTTTGCTCTCCTTTATTTAAGCTCTGGAGTGTGCTTAAGCTGTCTGTGAAGATCCTGTATGTGTTCTCTGTTCTTTGGTCTATCCACAGGAGTGCCCTTTTGAGGGCTAAGACTTCCGCCTGGAACACTGTAGCTTCGTCGTTTAACCTGTATTGTTCTTTATGAATTTCCTCATTATTTAGATATGCTACAAATGCCGCTCCTACCTTGTTTTCCATTTTGGAGCCGTCTGTGTACGTCTCTAGGTCTTTTCCCTGAGGCGGATCTTTTTCCCATTTTATTGTTGAGATTTTTGCCGGGTGTGTGTGAAGGGCGGGAAGTCTTTCTTCGACTTCATGTGCCCGGATCGTAAGATCCCCTAGTCTAATGTCTTCTTTAAAGTGAAAGAGCCTGTACGCTTGTTTTTCCATTTCTGCACGTAGGTCCAAGGGTAATATACCTGAGAGGACTTGTAGTGCTGACGTCGGTGTTGTTGCATAAGCTTTCGTAATACTTAGGAAGGCTCCTCTTTGTAATTGGAGTAGTTTTTGCTTTTGTCGTGCCGTCCCTGTGTGCCATATCGGACATCCATAAAGGATCATCCTTTCAATTGCTTTATTGTATATGATCTTTATTAACTGCCCTTTCATATTCCATGTTCATGAGACTATGTTGTTGAGTTTATTTATCATGATCTGTGTCCTATCTTTTATCGTACTTAGGTGTGGAATCCATGTTGTCTTGGAATCCAGCATAAAGCCTAAGTATTTTAGGACATCTTTACGCGGGATTAGAATACCCTTCCATTTAATTCTGGGTGGCGATCTATGAAGTTTTGTTCCTTTCGGAAATAATATTAGTTTTGTCTTTTCTATGCTGAATTTGAGTTTGTATTTTAGACTCCATTTTTCTATTTGTTGTAGCGCCCGGTGGGCGTGTTCCTCTAGTCTCAGCCTATTCCCTCCTTTTATTATTAGTATGAAATCGTCCGCGTATGCTTGAATTTTGACATTTTCCCCTAAGTCCAGTGACAGGGCTGTATCTGCCATTACATTCCAGAGTATGGGTCCCAGGTTTGAGCCTTGAGGGGCACCCTTCTGGTAATCGTGTCTTATTTGTGTTCCGTCTCGATTGTAGGTTATTGATCTTTTATTTAAGTAGCTACTTATTAGCTCATATATGTTTTTAGGACATTTAAGTGTTTTGAGCCTGTTAAGCACTCCTGGCCACCATAGGTTGTTGAAGGCAGAGGCCACATCTAATGAGATTACACAAGTGTGCATGCCTTCCCTTCTGTTTTCTTCTATTTGCTGCATTAGCCCTTCTAGGGCATCTATTGTACTTCTATCAGGCAGGAAGCCGTGTTGTTTTGTATTCAGCGCTTTTGTTTTTACTAGGAAATATGTTAGCCTTTTGGCCAGCAGCTTATCCAGTACTTTCGCCCATGCTGATAATAAGCATATAGGGCGATAGGCTCCTGGTGTGGTTTTGTTCTTTCCCTCCTTTTGGAATAGTACCAGATTTCCTTCCTTCCATGTGTTTGGGAAATACCTCTTCTCTAGACACTTGTTTAGTATAGTTTGAAAGAGATCCTCATTAGCTATCATTGCTTCCTCTACTATTTCTATTGAGAGTTCATCTAACCCGGGGGCTTTACCCTTTTTCGTTGTTTTAATTATATTTCTTATTTCTTCTTTAGTGAACGGGGTATCATTTTCTGTGTTCGGGCTTGTCCTGGCCCCTTGTCTCATTATCCCATGTTTTGTTGTATCTAAGCTGTCCTCATCTTGGGGAAAGTGATACTGAATTATGTGTCGAAGAGTTTCTTCTATGGTATCTGTCCATTCATCACTCGACTTTTTAATTTTACTTATTTTTAACGGTTGGTAGTGACTCCCTTTGATAATATCAAAATATGTTCCAAAGGGTGAGCTAATCTTCAAGCTATTCCAGTAGTTCTCCCATGACTTTTGTTTCGCTTTATTAATGTTCCTTTTGTACTGCGCCTCTGCTCTTTTATAGCGCGCCCTCTTGTCCTGCCTTTCTTCATTATAAGTATGTTGGTATTCCCACCTGAGCTTTTTTACATTTTTACGCTCTTGTGTGAGGTGGTGTGTCCACCATGGATTTGATCTCTTCGTATCTGTTCTTGTTCTTTTGTGTATTGGGAATAGAGCCCTTTCGTACTCTTCCTTTAATCTTCCCGAGATTGTTTTTATCGTGTCATTAATATCCTCTTCTGACTCCAACTTATACTCTGCTGTCATTACTTTATTTATCCCCTCTTTTAGTAGTAGCCAGTCTGTGTGTCCTCTCTTCATTCTCATGCCTATCGGCGTGTGATTGAAGTGTAGGTTAACCTCGAAGTTTATCGCATTGTGGTCACTTAGCGTATTTCTTTTTGCAACTTTCCAATTCTCTATGTTAGTTCCCTTTTATATTTAACTATTGTCAGGTCGATCCACGAGTTTCCTCTTGACCCCATGAATGTTGGGGGACTATCTGCCTCGTTTATGATGCACATGTTATGTGTCGCGATGAAGTCGTTTACTCTGGTACCTCTGGGGTCTGAGTTCAGAGAGCCCCAAACTCTACTTTTGGCGTTGAAATCGCCACATATTATTATATTGTCGTGTTGCCTTTCTTCCATTATGTAGTCTAATTCCGACATTATTTCTTCTATGTCGTCATGTGGGGGACAATACACCGATATTAGTATGAATGATATTGTACCCTCGACTTTAATCATGACTATTTCTGGAGTTGTCTTTAATTCTAGAATATATTGGAATATTGGAATATTCTTATCCGTAGCTATGATTGCTGATTTTGCGTTTTTATCTGCATAATATGCTCTATGTTTTAGTGGGAATCCACTAACTTTGTTTTTTAATACATACGGTTCTTGTATGCATGCAAATTTGAATCTATTGTCCATTTCTAAGTCCTGTCTTAGTTGAAGTGTTGCACTCCTTGAGTGCTGTACGTTGAGTTGCGTGATCTTAATTGATCCCATAATTGATTTTTTTTTGAGGATTTCTAGTTCTCTTGTTTTGCATGCGCATTCATTTGCTAAGCTATTATGTTTTGTATCGAGGTTTAAGTTAAACTCTTCATTTGCGTTATGACAGTTGACACATCTGGTCCTTTCGGACTTGCATTCTGTTTTAATATGTCCCTGCTTTCCGCATTTTGTGCAACACTTTTCTGCATTGCATGTTCTTTTTGTGTGTCCGAGCTTTAGACAATTTATGCATTGTGTTACTTTGAGGTATTCCTTAACACTCTTTCGTGACCATTGTATATTGACTTTTTTCGTTTTCATTAGTTTTTGAAATGCTATGGGGTCTATGCTTATAACCCAATTAAGTCCATACTTTCCTTTCATGTTAAATTTAACTTCTATTTCTGCTTCTTCTAATTCTACATTTTGTTTGACTAGGTGGTCTCTTAGTCCTTCTCGCGTTATGTCTTTATCTACATTATAGATAATTATCCTGGGGTTGAGCTTAACGGGTCTTTTAGGCTCCATTACTTTTCTAAGTTTTGAATTCTCTTTGATAGCGTCCTCTAGGATTTTTAATTCCTCTTGTTTATTTGTTTCTATTAGAACTCCTCCTCTACGGATTTTCCTAAGTTTTTTGATTCCTATCTTTAATTGATTAGGATTGATATTCTTAGTTAAGTCCTCTTTAACTTGTTCTGAGGTTAACTCACTGTCTTTAGGGTACACTAAGAGAATATGCTCTGCGCCTTGTGGTCTTTTTGATTTTGATTTTGACCTACTTCTCGATCTTTGTCTGATATTTTTAGCAGCTTTTGCCGCATATGTTTCTCTGGTCTCAACTAACCCTTGAAGATAATCTTCAACGTTCTGGGTTTGCTCTATCTGTCCTTGCATATTAGCTATCTTTAGATTTTGTGCTGTGATTATATCTAAAAGTCTTTGAAAGCAGTATTTTACACTTTTACAGAATCTTTTATTTAAGTCCTCTTTGCTTAATAGACCTTCTAGGTCTTCTAAATATTCTGCGGATTGCTCCATGAATTCTTCTGTTAACTCATTAACTTCTTTAACTTCTGTGTGATCTACCTGTTTATCACTATCTGTGGTACTGTCACTCACTGTTTTTCGAGCCTTCGTCGCCGGACCCTCCGTTTGCTCTTTGGAGGTTTCAGCCCGACTTTCCAGTCCGGTGTCTTTTCGTCGTGCCATCTTGCCTTGTCTTGTAATTAGGCGCAAGACGACGTGTAGGGGATATGTCCTAGCTCAAGGACCACCGTATGAACCGTTATGGGCCCAACTTACACGGTGGCTGCTGTTCACAGAACCGGTACCCTGGGGTTCTCACCGGAACTGTTACTTAGCGGGTGGAGTTGCTTTAGACCCTCTTGCGAGGGAGCCCCCAGACCACGACAAGGTCCAAACTCCACGCGGGATGCGACCAGCAAATGACCGCTAGTTGACCACGTTTAAACTCAGATAATTCTGGACGGCACCCGATGTTCTTTCTGAGATGGATCAACTAACTCGCTCTGAATTTCACAAGGCTCTCGCGCATGCAAAGACAAAAGACTACTGGTATGAATCGCATTCCCCCTGGGGGTACATTACGGTATAAGAAACTAATGCATAAAGTAAACAAAACTTATGTCTGTAACAATAATATTCATGATCAAAATAGCACTATTAAAAGGTTGAATGCTGTCGCTGTTTTTATTAAAAGAAAACATTTTACCTTCCGTAATTAACTTCAGTACATGAAGTGAACTGCAGTGTAGTAGACTCCCGATTAATGACACTCATAGTTAAGCCAAAATCCCAACTGATGCGACTGCAGATTAAAAAGAATATGTATAAAAGGAAGTGTTCTAATGGTTATCCAATAGAGCGTTTTTAAAGTTTAGTATGGTTTATCAGTAAAGATTATCAAAACTGACAGACTTTCGTAGATAAAAAATTTCCAAAATATTGTGATATCATATGCTACCATTGCTGTTATCTGACGGATTTAATACTCCATTTTGAATTTCTAGTAAAACATTTGCTTTATTCTGCTGATATGTGATAAAAATTTTTACATCGTCCGGCAATAAACAAGCTTAATATTTTTTAGGCAAAGCCCAGTATCCACTCTTGGTTTACTAGGAGTTGATATCTAACTCATTGGTGAACAAGTGAATAAAACTCTAACAATTGGTAGTTCACCCCTGCTTTAGCTTTCAAGCAATGAGCTGGTTACACGGGTCTTGAACAGTATATTTCTTGTGTAATGGCAGTTCTAACCAGTTTCTCTTTGAAAATATTCCCCGAAGGCATGCTTTCCAAGGAAGACAATATTTGCTTACTTTACCACAATCGTGAATCAACTTTCGAAAGTTTAGTATGTCCGTAACGTCCTCCTCAATAGTTTAATTAATCGACCGAAATAAACAGTTTTCACAAATATACAAAATTTTACGACGAGCATTACGTATTTTTAACATCGACTGGATACCTATTCTACTGGAGGTGTGGATGCATTTTAGCCTGAATAGTTCATTCAACGGGGTGTTATTAAATTACACTGTTGAAAGCCAACCATGTCTATATATTATTTTT